TCCCAACATCACTCCCTATCCTTCTCAAAGAGATAAGATAATGGCTGTGCCATTTCTGCATAATTTGCGCTATACTTGTGCAAGTAGTTGTCGAGGCAAAGTTACTTCCGCAAGTCCTTTTCATTCTTTGGAACCGGCCAGTCCACAATGGCCTTGACCTTAGCAGGATCAGATCGAAGGCCACGCTTTCCAATGAAGCACCCTAAAAAAGGAGTTTCTTCAGCGCCGAAGATGCACTTGTCTGCATGAGCATACGGCTTTTTTTGTGCGCATGCACCAGAGGACCACTCTCACATGAACGATGTGGTTTTCTAAATCTGTCCATCCCGCACGACTGTGGACAAAGATGTCGTCGAATTGTGTCTGTGCAAACAGCCGAAGAAGCTATAAGAAATGGGTCGCAAGAATATTGCTGGTGCATTTGACAGTCCGTGGGGAATCATCAGCTACTCCCAGAGCATCCCGCTCAGAGTATTACGCTGTCGAGGGAAATCACTCGATCTCATGAGCAATTGACAATAACCATCGACCAAGTCGAGTGCGTTGTACTTTGTACAGCCAGCCATATTGTTTTGAAGAACTTCTTTCTGGCAATAGGAACTTGTGCCGGAATGGCGGCAGCGTTTAGCTTATTAAAAGCATGAACGATACGCCACTTGCCGTTCGACTTCCGAACACAAAACGTGGGTGTCAGGTGGGTATACTTGCTCTCACGCACCATTCCTGCCTCGTGCTTCGCACGGAAAAAGACGTAAATGACGTCACACTGCTCTTGGGCAGGGGATATTGATGTGCTACGCAGTATATTGTTGCCGGAACCAGGTCAATCTCATGATGTACACCTCGATCCAGAGGTAGGACCGACGGTGGGTCTTTGGAGACGACTTCTTGGAATTCCATTACCAAAGGAGAATACGAATCCTATGAAATCCTCAGAATCGATGATCCACTTCGTGCGTTCAGCACCCTCTTGGTTTTCTCCAGGACAGCTTCACCGAGAAGCGACAACGAGTTAATCTCCTCTTTCGGTCCTATAATGACCACCTCGGCTTAATTTTCTGCCTTCAAGGCACCGCTAAACCTTCCGAAGGACATCTCGTCTAGGTCAAGAAGAGAATCCACCTCGGGAATTGCCTCGAGGGTGGCGTCGTCGTCTTTCTCCCCCGTCAAACCGTCGAGAATGGTATATAGCTGTGCGCTATCGTCCACGGTAGACACACCCTGGGTCAGAGTCGAAGCCTTGCGTCTTGCCGATAACATACGGCTTCGCCGTCCCCTCGCCATATTTTTTTACGATTCATCGTGACCAGTGAAAACACGCACTCGGAGTCAACCTGTGTACCCTCTCCCTGCTCCATTGGAGTCTTGATGTTATTACACAACATCCGAAGAGGAGCTGTTATCCCCGCAGTCTTCGTTTAGTGGATAACCTACCACTCCCCGCGCATCAGAAGGGCCTTGCCCAAGATGCCTCGGACCTCGTACAACCATGCCACTCTTGGCATACAGCAACTGCTTTGAAACGTGGGCAGTGCTCAGTGGATTAAGTGCCACTCCACGCGCATCACAAGGGTTTCGCCCTTGATGCCTCGGACCACGTCCGACCATGCCACTCTTGGCATGCAGCGACAGTTCCAGTACTTGAGCAGCGCTCAGTGGGTTACGTGCCACTACACGTTCAGCCTGCGAGCCAAGCTCGGGACTCCTATCCAAACGACCTTTATTGCTTGACAACTCGGATACTCCAATAGCCAGCACATTGACCGTTCCGGTCGAGTGCCCGCTTCAACAGCGCTTCTGCCTCCTAGCAAAGGTGGGTCATGACTCACCAAAGCTCCATTAGGAGACGTGCGCGTAGCGCCTCAAGGTCTTTGACATCCAATCAATCCATGGCTCATGGTGTTCCAACCAAACCACAGCAAGTATAAGGTCATACCTTGCGTCCAAGGCTAAGACTAGACAGCGTTGCACGCTATCAAAGTCAAGGAGCTTGATTCCGAGGTCGACAGCGACCCTCGACACAGTGACATCGCTAAGAGAACAGCGTCGATGTCACTCAACCGCGCTTCCAGCGCCTCAGCATACAGCTGATTTCCTTTGATCGTGGAGCGTCGAGCATAAACGCCTGACGCCCCCAGGAATCATTAAGAATTTCCCATGGCTTATCAAAGCCTTTCACGGTCACTTTTACGACCAGCAAGCCTGGCTTGCACGCACGTTCCGTGTTCAAGAGCACACAGCTCTTCGGGGCTGGGCCCCGGTGCCGACTACCTCTTTGAGGCACAACCGAGCTCAGTTCTTTTCCAGTAAAGCGCCTCGCGCCTACTGGCTTTTCTCGTTTCCCCGCGACAAACCAGACTGGTCAGTAGCGGGACGTCAGCTCGACGAACCTTTACGCGTTTTACGCAGGGGGCAATTAGTCCGAAGGTGACGGGTGACTCAACAGACATAACACCGTCGGGTGTTTATACGCTGCCCAGCAGCTCGGCACTCTCCTTCTTTCATCTCAGCATAGTTGGGATCCATTGCTCAGACCCGCTCGACGAGCTCCGAGGGTGTGCATTCCAACCAAGTCTTGCCGACTTAGAGTTGAATTTTGCATTCAATGCCACGTTTATAGCTTCTTCAATAGAAGACAGATGCACACGGACGACTTCCATTCTGGCAACACCAGTGCGGAGGCACTCCATGAAGACGGCACTGCGACCGCCTCGGGAGAGGATATGCTGCCGTTTCGGCAATGAGTGCTCTTTACTCTTGGACAAAGTCAACTAACTCCTTCTTGCCCTGTCGGGCAGTAAGGAAGCGCGATCGCACGCGATATGCCTAGTTAGGCGTCGAGAACACTCGCAAAAGCCGACGCTTCAGCAGCTTTCAGGGGGGAAACGCAGCTTCAACCGAAGCACCACACGTTTGAGCCCATTCTCGTGCTCGGCCCCCGGGTTTGGAAGTAATCAGCGCCACGCGCTGTTGCTCGTTTTGGAGCATGGCGGATGCTATTGCCATCTCGGCCTCTCTCACCCAGAGCAGGAGATTCTCTCCATCCTTACCCTCAAAGGTCTTAACGCTAACCATGAGTGGTTTGGGTCGGAAGGAATCATCCACCGTGACTGTGGCGTCATATACGCAGTGAACGCTGACAGCATCAGCTGTAATTGCTCTAACACAGCATTTTTAAATTTTGAAAACGCCTCTAGGCGCGCGCTTATAGCCTCGGGCCCTTGCACAACAAGGTGCGTCACGCCCTCAGGGCCAAGCAGGGACTTCAACTTATTAAGCCCGTCTTGTATGCCCTGGGGCAAATAGAAGTATTTCTTCATCCTTACAGAGGATCAGTCGTAACGACTCAGGCGTAGATTGACTGCAAGTGCCTTCTGTTGCAGCGGGGCTGCCATAGCTATCTGCTTAGAGGAAGCTGAGCTAAGGGACCGAATTTACGTTCTTTCCAAGAATCAGTACGAGTGTAGCGGATCGCAATCCGCTACTTCCAAGTACTAAAATCTTCACCAAGGCAAAAGAACACTTCTGTTTAAAAATGATATTGTACTTAAATATTTTGGCTGCGGCCGAACCGCCAATATCGAAAATTCTAGGTTTTCTAATCGATATAGTAATACCTAATCAAAATAACAAAACCTAATTAATATAACCCTACTTGCAATTCTGCCACGTGTTACGGTGAAGCCACACCACTGTGTGATTACTCTTACTTGTGTAATTCACAACTATGTACGGTCGCACAAGATGGCGCGACCCGCTTTTTCATACAAGTGTACGTGTACCCCTGGACGTCGATCGTGATGGGAATACTGTCACGGTCTGCTCCCCCCTCATGCATTTACCACAAAAAGACTTGATGTCGCGAATCACAGCTGGCTTACCGTTTGTGGCACGCTGCGTTCGGGCCATAATGCTCTCGCTTGGATGTCCCATGCGAGCGTGCCAGAGCTCCCACTACTTTCAGCCTGCATACTCCACGAACAGAGCTTCTTTTTACCCGCAGTCAAGCTCATAGGCCTTACCAGCCTTTTTGGCCAGTGCTGCAGCACTGCTTATGCCCCAGCTGACACATGAGGAACGCTGAAACTCAATGCGCTGACCGCATCATCTTCAAAGCTTCCCAACCGACAGCATCCGTCTATCGTGTCGTGAAATGTACAGTATATCCAACATCTTGATGCACTTGCCATTAATCCTAGTCAACTCAACCGTTCCTATACCAGAGACTCGCAATTGCTTCCTCGAGAAAGTATCTGTTTACATTATGATAGCTTAATTTCCTTTGTAGCGATGATGCCAGTCGACCACCCTCAACGAAGTTAAAAAACAATTATACACGGTGTTGAAGCAGTAAAACCAGCTTACTTGATCTCTATGACAGCCTTATATCCTGCATAACTCAACAAAGCAAAATGCAAAACCTTTAATACCATGTCTTAGCTTGATAAAACATTTAAACGTCGCTCATTGTTTTTTTGAACAATTTTAGTTTTTCTCTTTTCGAAATTTTTTTCTAGAATTAAAATTTAGTGATGAGCCCCACTTTTGACCAATTGCCATACATTCTTGTAGCTTCACCAACAAAAGCTTTTCTCATCCTTAAGCCTAAACATTAGCGCACTATATTGAGTAATTTATCACACATATACCACGACAAAGCTTGACTATATATTTTGCAAGAGAATGCATTCTTGCGGTCCATCCATGTCGAGAAATGCAATGTAATTAACACTGGGGGTCAGACGTAGAAGTCTTACGTTTGCTACTTGGTGATTGCGGTCATTGTAGCTAGACACGATTTCAATTGATCCACAAAGTATTTTGTGAAGCCCAAACTCACTATACCTATTATATCTGAACAAAATCTTCGACCTACTCACTCAAACTCGACAAGCGAATTGCGAGTTTGCAAATGCGCTGATGTTACCATCAATGACAAGGTATAAGCAGGAAAAGATGGTCGCAAATCGACTGGTAAACACTTCAGAAGTATAAAGAGCAAAAGGTTATCAAAAACGAAATAAAGCACACGCTAACAAAGTAAGGCTAATAATGCGGCAAAGTTGGCGGCAACAAATCTGTTGTGCCTCAGGATATGAAGTCCTTAGACTGTTAGTTGATGGTCCTGCTCTCATCTCACAGCAATACTTAGGTGCACTATTCCCTGAACTGTGTTCATGCCACAGAATGCCGAAACATTCGCGACGAGGTCAACACTTGGGGTATCGCAGTGTCTGATTTCTGAATTGACTACTCAAAATAAGTGCGACCATGTTTGACGTGCTCAATGCAAAAGTTTGGCTCCGCAATTTGAACATATTGTGGTTCATCGTAGAGACACAGAACATTGAAAGCGGTAGCACATTTTTTTAAAGCAGCAATATCTCTACTTTGCTAGCGAGAGTTGAGCGATTGCGTAACAATGTCTTCTTGGAACGAATCGCCACTTAATTCACTTCTGCAAAAAATTGTCACCACGAGCACTCCAGCGCTTGAGTTTCAGCCTCAAGGTGCCGAGCTAGTATACACGATGAATGGCGATCCATTGAACTTCATTAACGAGCGCACTTTTCTTGTTTCGAGAAGTCAAAGAGCTTCCACTACGCTCCGGGATGGAAAAAAATTGTCTCTTTCGCATGAGTTTTAGCTGTTGTCAGACGTACGCGGACAATTTCTTCAGTAGCGCGAATTCTGTAGCCAACACGGTCACTGCCGGTCAAAATTAAAGCGCCTTTCCATTTTATTTCTTGAGAGTTCAATACCGCCTTTCCATCCGATCCGGATCATTTTGCGGTCCATTGCGGTCCAATCCTGAAAGATTAGTCGAAAAATCATGTGAATAGGCATCGATTCCAAGATATCAGGTCCAGCCAACCCTCGAAATACCTACATGTAGATACACGTACGTGAACCCATAATTCTAGAATATCAAGATGCTTCAATAATACACAACAGCTCATTGATCTTTATGCGTGTAAATATCCTTTTAATAACCCACCTCGCGCAATCTCGACAAATGTCACATTGTCATGCGTCGGTTTTGCCAGACTGCGAACATCTTAGAAGGAACGGCGATCCACAAAGAGTGTCCATTGCTCTGATACTCGAACACAAGAGAAAACGACACACTTTCATCAAAACTATTAAGTGGCATGTTTTAGTTGGGGTGAACAGCCAAATTTGTGATTACATATAAATAAAAAGATAAAAAAACACTAACTTTTTTTATTAATATGAGTCAGCCCAGATTTAGGAACAATGCCTTTTAATAGTTCTGATGAAAGGGTGTCCAGTTTGCCCAAAATTTTTTTTTTTGGAAGTGAAATCTAATATTCTGCGTATATTGGCTTATCAATCTGTGAATCTGATTGATAGCACGACTGCGATATGCTTTTGCTTAAGCTCTTCCAACTCATTTCTCAATCCACCGAAAAACTGATAAACGATTTTGAAAGCCATGCATGCAATAATATGCTGTGTCATAGCTTTGGTGCTCCTTGATGCTGTCGTAGCTTTTCAACATTTACGCCGCCTCAAGAGCCACCCCCGCCATACGTGCAAAGAATCGCGACAATGAGTTTGATCGCGTCAAGATTGTGACTACCCGCCGCTTGAGAGGGCACATACTTGCGACATCCAAAGCACAAAAGGAAATACGTCAAGATGAAGAAAGGGTCAATCCTGAAGTGTCTGAAGAGGCGAAACGGGCTGCAACATCCTGGCTTGGTAACTTTTTCAGTTCGAGAGCGATATTAGACATAGAGAAGAACCTGGAAAAACGTTTCAAGGTTCCCGCCCTCAGCGACGAGATTTTAACCATGTTTCAGGCGGCTGAGACTTCGAATATTGTCAAAGGGTCCATCGAACGATGGAAAAAATTGGACACGTTCGTAACGGAAATGAATGAAGAACTCAACAACATGGAAAAGAATATCCAGAATGGGGTATTCGCGGAAAAGGATGTTCAAGAGGTGGTGGAACGTGTTATGTTCAATCGACTATTCCTTCTGAACGTGATCAAGGCTCAGAGACTCATTGACACATTTCGAATACCAAATATGTCACAAGATCAAATCGAGCTTGTCAAGGAAGGTGTTTTCTCGTTTTGGAGAACTCGAGGCATCACACTTGATTATTTACCGCAAATCCTTGAGCATACGGACAAATCTGAGATCGACCTGTTAAAATTGTATGAGAGCTACCTGTCCGGTGCGCAATCAAAGTAAATAATCGTGTTTTTTTAAGTTGATTTTGGCGTTGAACAGAGTGTTTTAGAGTTCTATCTGACCATAATAGCAGATTTTATGTATTTTTGTATCATCTATTCGCAAATGACTTAAATAGCTATATCACGACACGATGCATATACAACACGTTGTTGATGTCGAAGATAATTGGAAGGTCCTTGGTCTTACGGTCTCCTCATTGTTGATGGCACCTATGAGTTTATTAAATGACAATCTTCTTCGTCTCAGCGCTCGATTCACAAAGTAATCATCGCTCTAATTACTATGCGACAGAAGTATTCTTCTCTCGTTTAAAGCTTATTTATTCTTTTGTCGTTTTTTCAATTTAGACGCTTTTGATCAATCGTATGCATTACGTCAATGCTCGCGCTCATGTTTCGCTAACACTTTTGCTTCATCAGCGCGTTCGCAAGACCTTTATACCTTCAATTTTAATTCATTTGCGACCACATTTTGATGACATTTTGAGTCTTTTTTTAATCTTGCACGGCATAAGCGTCCTCACATTTCTGATCCCACCAATGTCTTTGATACTACTGATTCAAAGGCAAAGTGTGACTCGGTCTTTTAGAACCAACCGATCGATAAAGTAGAAGTCAAGCAACATCTTCGTGTTTGAGCCTTAATAAATTAACGGAGACGTTTAATTACCATTTAATTTTCACTCAATAAAACTTTTACATTGCAGCTATCAACATTTGTGTAAATTTTGAGCGATAAGCAACGGCCTTAAGCGGAAAAATCACTGTATTGTTGGCTGATGAGTGGCTATCTATCGCATTTCTGCATGAGTATCACATCCAAAACATTCTCACTGCTGTATTGTGTCATGAGTCGAAAAGATGGCAGCCATCGTTTGTTAAAGATATCAGGATTGGTGGCTGCAGCTTTTGAGATTGCTGTAAGAAAGTGTTTCAATAAATCTCTTGTTAATTAGCGTGCATCTACTCGCGCCAAATGTTCGTGGTGCTAGAAAAGGTCTCCAAATCAAGGAGCTGATGTAGTGACTTTTAGATCCAAGTTTAACCACCTGAAAGTAATATATTTTCCATTACGATCGGGATGAAAAGGGCAAAACATCTACTGTCAGTAATAAGCTGGTATCGTACACTTCATGCCAAATTTCGTTGGCACTTGTTGACAGGGATAAGTATGAAAGATCCACATGTCAAGTCGTCTAAGGGACACCACTTGAAAAGTTTCATGTTATTTCTGTCTACGCTTAGATATGAATCTGCGCACAAGAGCATATAAATCAAAACTTGCAAAATTATAGCGCATAAGAACAATATCCGCCATCAAGCTTTTATAACTTACTTTTTCGGCAAAGTAGCGATCTTCAGCATCGCGATGCATTTTATCTAATTTGTCTAGCGCCTCATTCGCGTCCATAGTTCACGATCCTACTATCGGAACCGGTTGATATTAAAGTAATCAACGGAATAGAAGAGAAGAGAAGCTGTAGCCTTGATATAATTTCTCCAATTATGCTTTTCATCCACCGAAACAAATGTTGTCTACGACTTCTGCTCTTTCATCCGCCGAGTTTTCATCGTGGCGACAACAATTCTTTTTCATGACTGTGCTCTAGTGTTAGTGTAAGATAAACTTATCGTTTTGCTTCAAAGTGCGACTGAGTAAGAAGATTAAAATTGACTTATCTGAAGCAAAAATTACATCATAAAGCGTCAAAAACTGGCGCAAAGAGCATCTCACTTTAGCAACATGGTCGCTTCGCGCGTGTAAATCCTAGACGAGGCGATTAACGTAGTCCTCTCATCCATTGGTGTCTGCTTTGAATGAAGCAATTGCAACAGAGCAAGTGGGACTAGCAAAAATTGTTGTTAAAATAACTTCGCCACTGATAATTATGATATTATTACTGATATCAGCATACTTTATAGCAAGTCGTGAGCTTAGATTTTGAAAAAAAACTAATCATTAGCTAAAAGCTTGCGACACCAAACGCAATAAAGGGTTCATGCCCACGGACACCAGCATGACGTAGGTATACTTTATTGCCGAAGCAGGAGATATAGAAGGGCTTGTTTGCAGCTGGAAGGATCAGAATGTTACAATGACACCACTTTCAGTTTTGACCAATAAATTACCAGATTAACGGACGCAACAAGACCACTACTTGGCATTCACACAGCAATTACGTCCACGCAAGCCGATGTCCTTCCAGGCAGTGGAAACAACTTCCTTTGGGAGTTTAACATGCGCATGACGTTATAGTACTAGGGGTTGTTGGCGCATGTTCAAGTCGTCAGAGGAAAAAAGAGATGACGGAAGCTGGGTTATTTAACGACACTAAGGCACTGGGGACCATCGCTTAAAGCATCGAGCTGTAAAATCAGACCAAGAAGCGACCTGTGCAGCGGGGCTGCCGTAGCTTAGCGCTTGAGGAAGCGTAATTTAGGTCATCGACCTTTCGATCTTTACAAGAACCAATACGAGTGTAGCGGATCGCAATCTGCTACCTCCAAGAGTAGTTAGTAACTTAACCAAGGCTAATAAACTCTTCGGTTTGAATTCAAAAACGATACTTATTTATCTTTATCTTGCGGTAAAGCCGCCTAATTTTAAATGTTTAGATTTTCCTAAATATATACAGTAAAATCTAGATACATGCAGAACTACTGGCTACCTAGCCACATACCGTATTCTTGTTTGGATGCAGTCAAACCATGCACATCTCGTGTGACACCCCCCTGTTTCCAGGGTACGTGTAACCCCGTTACAACCTGCGACGACGGCTATGCACGCTTGAAAACCTCGGTGGGAAGTCTACAGACGCATCGCGCTACACAGTCGTAACGAGATGTCACGCCATCTCCATGAACTTGATAATGAAGAGTGGTACGACAATAACCAAGCATGCAGACGCCTTTGATGAATTGGTTGTAGTCTCTGGGCACTTGGAGAATCGGTTGACGAAACAAGGACGCTAGTGGTACTGCTGAGCAGCCTTCCGTAGGAATACAAGTTGATTGTGTCAATTTTGAAAAAGGTTACGGACATTACGCTAATCGAGGTCAAATAGAAGTTGTTAAAGGAGCACGAACGGTTGCAAAAAGAAGAAGAAGACAGGAAGAGCGTTTTCTGATTACGGTAATAGTGGACGGTTCAGAGGAAACCGTGGCAACGGATGAAAGGGGAACGGCTGAAGAAAGAACGAAGTAGTTTCGAGGGCAAGTGCTTCAAGTGCAATCAAGTTTGTCTCGTGAAGCGGGACTCTCCGGGCGGAATCGATGGTGTTGAGGATGATGCGGTATTAGCTATGGACGAAAAAGTCTCGACGGATGGATTTTCAATTGCGACGCAACATCGTGTATGACTCCGTACCGGGAAGACCAACTAATCTATGATGAGTCTGTCTTTAACATCGATGCGACTGTTGTAGACGGCAAGAAATTGCAATTCTCTGGTTGAGGAATGGTAAAGCTGACTAGGATTAATGACAAGCGCATCAAGATGTTGGATGTACTGTAATTTCCAGGGATGCTGTCGGTAAGGAAGCTTGCAGAACGCGGGTAACGCGTTGAGTATCAGCATTCCTCATGTGTCATTGGGGGATAAGTAGTGCTGTGGCACCGGGCAAAAACGTAGGCATCTGACGGAACGGCTTGGGATATTAGAGACGTCACCGCAGTCAGCTCTTAAAGTTTGTCTTCGCGACGGGATTGCCGAGCACATCTCACAGGGCAAGCTTTGACTCAACGAGTCAGCATTAACAAACATACAGAGGATGATCTTGTACGCTACGCCTAGCGAGCAATAACATACAGAGGATGATCTCGTACGTTCGCCTAGCGACAATGCATATGAGCTGGATTGCGAGCAAAAAGAAGCACTGTTTGAGGAGTATGCCGTGGTTGACGACCAGTGGTAGCTCTGGCACGTTCGCAAGGGACATCCAAACGAGAGCGGTACTGCCAAAACGCAGCGTGCTATGGACGTTATGCTAACTGTGAGTCGTAACATAAAGTCTATGTGTGATTGATGCATGCAGGGGGGGCAGAATGTGACAATCTCCTCACGATGACGTCCACGACATAACGCTTATCGGGGAAAGTTCACACCGTTGCGTTGGGACCAACACGAACGGTCTCAAAAGAAGTTGCACGATATGTACTGACATTGGTGGTTGAATTTTCACGTGGTGTGGCTTCGTACGTTATGAAGAACAAGAGCGAAGTTGTCGCTAAACTTGCCGAATTCAAGCCATATTTTAAGAGTCAATGGTATGAACGAACCAACTTTCTTCGCTCTGATAATGGAACCGAATTCGTGAGCAGGGAAGTCCAGCGTACTGTACCGTTTAGACCTGAGCAAAACGGAATGGCGGAACCGATGAACCGTGTGATCATGGAGAAGGCTTAATGCATGCGGCACTACAAGGTGGTGTCAGCGACATGCTGGGCAGAAGCTGTACGCACCGCAGTATATCTGATCAACTGGTCTGTAAATACTCAACGATCAAGCATGATGCCATATCGAATATGCTTTAGGGAGATTTCGCAAATGGAACATATGCTTTTTTTTGAGTCGCAAGGTTACGCTCACGTTGACAATGCAAAATGCTGAAGCTTAATTTTACTAGTTTGAATTTCGTATCCGCAGAGACCACATTCCGGTTTTACGACGTGGAAGCGTCTAAGGCCAAGGTTGCCATTCGAGTAGGCTTATCGAGCGTATAGTGAACGGTATATACGATTCACTGTACCTAGAGCAAGTAACTTGTTACCAAAGGAGAGATTCAGCAGTAGCCCCGACATCGGTTGACTGACGTCCGGTGCCGAATGGTCCCATGAGAACGTTGAAGAATCAACTAAAGATTTTACCATGGAGCCAGAAATGAATGCTAGTGTGCAACAGTCTCTAGCACTAAACAATGGATCACCGATTGGGCAGGAACTTGCGGATGCCGTGCGCTGCAATCGATTCAGAAAGTTTTGTATTGCGTCCAGGGGTAG